CAGCACAGGCATGCTCTGCCTCCCACCCACTCTCAGGGATCTCCCTAAAGCAGCCTCCACTGGGCCTTGAACCCCTTCCCCTCACACAGACACGGCTTCCCTCTCTACTCATTCTCCTATCCACATGCAAATATGTCATGTCTCCCCACCCATGAGCAAATTTTGCTGAGGCCATTTTTAAAAGACAGACATCACTGAACCACCGGGCACACTAACCCCTCACCAGCTCCTCTTCACTCGACCTGGAACACTAACCCCTTACTTTGCTCCACCTGGAACACTAACCTCTCACTACCTCCTCTTTGCTCCACCTGGAACACTAACCTCTCACTACCTTCTCTTTGCTCCACCTGGAACACTAACCCCTCACCAGCTCCTCTTTCATCCACCCTCACCTATTCAGTGAAGCCTGCTCTAACCACCCAATTTAATATTCAACATCCTCCCCACCAGACCTGATTCTCTCTCCCACTCTATTTTTCTCATAGCACTTACCAGATTCTCATGTACCAGATAACTTACTTCTGTTACGTTTATTGTCTGTCTATCCCCACTAGAACATATGCTCCATGTGATAGTGATTTCTCTCTGTGTTTTTCTCTGCTGTATCTAAGCCCACAGCACCAACCTGGTACGCACGTGGCTACCAATGAACACTGCTGGGGGCGGGCAGAACGAGGGGAGAAATTTCTCCCAATTCCCTTCCCACCTGACCCTCCAGCAATGCAGTTTCCTAGCCTGCCCGCTAGAGTGGAAGACCAGTGGGTGGGGACGGTTAAGGACGCAGAATGATGGAAAAGGCCCTGTGCCCTGTCTACCCCTCCTGCCCAGCAAAGCACTTCACCCTACTGCCTCCTCTGAGTCAGCCGCCACTCAGGACCCAACACAACATCCCCACATTAAATTCCCTCTCTTTCCCTTTCTACCCTGCCTCCCAATTACGGCTTTCTACCTGCTGTAAAGAAAAACCCTCTTGGATGAACTAGGGAGTTTTATTTCCAAAGGAGAACAACAGGAATGTACTTGTAGAAGTAACCTGTACACACTGGTAAAAAAGCATGGGCTACGGAGTCAGGCACACATGGCTTCAGTTCTGATTTTGGGAAGAGCCCGTTTTCGGAGGTAAGTGTGAGGACTAAAGAGCACAGACAAGCACACAAAGCCCAGGGATGGACAGGGCACACCATGGACACTCACCTACTCCCTTCTGCTGGGTCCTTGGACTCGGCCTCCGTCCCTATGCACAAGAAGTACTCAAGTGCTTGTGAATCAAACTCATCAGTATTTAGCGCACCATCCCCGCCCACAAGGAGCCTGAGTATGATCTCAGTAGGGAGACAAGAGGAAAACTTATATGAAAAAATGCAAAGGAGGGCCGAGCCCATGGCGCACTCGGGAGAGTGTGGCGCTGGGAGCGCGGTGACGATCCTGCCGCGGGTTCGGATCCTATATAGGGATGACCGGTGCGCTCACAGCGCTCACTGGCTGATGGCGCACTCGGGAGAGTGTGGCGCTGGGAGCGCGGTGACGATCCTGCCGCGGGTTCGGATCCTATATAGGGATGACCTGTGCGCTCACAGCGCTCACTGGCTGAGTGCGGTGCGGCTGGTCTCAAAAAGGACCAAAAAAAAAAAAAATGCAAAGGACAGACAAGAAAGGGCCCCTATTCCTGCAGCCGGGCAGCAGAGGCATCAGCGAAAAGCAGCCCAAATCAGGCAAGGGACTGAGGCATCGCACAGCCAGCCAGGGCACATGGGTCTTGTCACAGACAGCAAACTCCCGCCAGCTCTTGCTAACTCTTTAGCTGTGCCATTTATGTTCTGTTTCTAATTTTATTCTATCTCACCATGGTTCTGCTGACCAGGATCGCTCTCTAATCCTCCCTCTGAGATCAAACTTACTAAATACTCTTGCCAGCTCTGTCAATTGTAATGGGATAAGTGTGTCTCACCCAAATGCCCA